AGGTGGTATTATAACCATTTTAGAGATGGGGAACTGAGGCATAGGGAGAGAAGTCAAGTGTTGACTAATTTTCGATGCCAAGCAGGGTGGATAAAAATTTTAAAATTTTTTTATTTAAATCAGATTTTTTTGATAAAATGCTTTGAGGAAAAAACCTATCCAAAGATGGTTTTAATTAAGCTACATTATAGCTCAAAGATATCTCATCATGGAATAGGAATTATAAATTATAACTCTATAGTATGAGCCAATATATTCATGTAATGTTTAAGAAAAGTTTTGTAAATGAGTTCCAATAGTTCATGGATTAGGGGCCCAATCTTATGGGGTTCCAGGGGCTTCTGTATAGATTATTTAGGTTAATCTTTCTATCTACCCAATGGGACTCAGTGCTCAGTCTAGAAGATACCATCAGAAATGCTTAGTTTTGCAGTTCTCAAACTGTGGATTTTTGTGTGTCCAGAGATAAAATGCTCGTTAACAGCAAAAATGTTTTTAAATAAATAAATATGTAGAGGTGAGAAATAAGACCTCAATCCTATTGTCCCTCTGCAAATTTCTGTACACAGAGTCAATCCCTTACCTCTCTCTAAAAGTGCAAAGTTTCAAAAAGTTCACTGAATAGAAGATTGTTGGGGGCGGAATAGATCTGGAGAAGAAGTAGTCTGGAGATAAATGTGAGAAGGGAGGGACGGAGCAGAAACAAAAGTGAAACTGTTTGAGCAGCATATTCCAGATGTCTTGAGGTCTTTCTGAGTGTAGCCTTAATTGATTTGAGATCTACCATACCATTGTCTCACTAGAAGGGAAAACCTATAATGGCAGCAGGCCATAAGAGAGACCGAGTTTAGGAATATTTTAATGAAGTTCCTCTACCTGTGGGTAAGACAGGCATGCGTGCAAAATGCAAACAGTGCAACAAAGAAATGCAAGGCCTGGTTGCCTGAATGAAACATCATCATGAGAAGTGTTCCTTCTCAGGAGGAAGCTGCGTTGAAGATGGTGAAAGGAACAGGTCTGAACATGCAGGATCTTCAGGTTGGTAAACTTTATTTCATACTTCTTTCTTAAGGACTGCCTGTCTTCCTTCTGGACTATTCTTGAATTCTCATGTTTGAGCAAAAAATATAGTTGTTACTCTATGGTACTATCATTTTAGATGCAGTAGTGATTAAAAAATAGCTGAAATAGGCAGATCTTCCTTTTACAATTTCACCTTTAAAGTAGTACTGAGTGTCAGTGAATGCAATGAGTAATGCTAAATGAGCAGTATGATAATTAAATAACTGCATTGATTTATTTTGTTTAGGAGAATCCATCCTCAACGTACAGGATTCTGAAGACTATCCACCTTCAAGATCACCATCATTTTCTATAGTTTCAGAGTTATCTGCCAATGATAGTGTTTCAGTCACATCATGTATATCATAGCCACAGTATATCACCTGTAGCAAAAAGGAAAAAAAAATACTCCATCATCCAGGAACAACCATAGATAAGTTTGTGATACGAACCAGCAGATTACAAAAAGAGGTAATTGATGAAAAAATTGCCTGGTTTGTTTATGAAACAAACTCTCCTTTCTGTATGATTGAGAACCCACACTTCATTAACACAGTTCAGTGATTAAGACCAGGATTCAGTCCACCCAACAGAGCAGATGTTGCAGGCAATTTGCTGGATAAAGTGTATGAAAGAAATTGAGCGGTGTGCAAAAGGTCTAGAGGGTAAAATTGTTAACCTGAGTCTTGACGGGTGGAGCAATGTCCCACAATGATCCTGTTGTATGTGCTTGTGTGACAACAGAAGAAGGGAATGTCTTCCTTACAGAAACAGTTGATACATCAGGAAATGCACACCCAGCAGAATTACAAGAAGTAGCAGTAAAAGTTATAACAAACTCTGGGGGAAAAAATTCAAATATCTAGAATGCAGCTTGGTCAGAGACAATGCTGCAAATGTATCCAAGATAAGAAATTATTTAGAAGAGAGTCTCAAGCTAATAACATACGGTTGCAGTGCTCATTTGATGCACCACCTAGCCAAAGACTTCAGTGTTCCAGAAATAAAGGCTAATGTTGAAATTGCAAAATACTTCCGTAACAACCACTTTGCAGCAGCTGCTCTGAAAAAAGTGGAAGGAACCAAGGTCACTCTCCCACAAGACGTGCAATGGAACTCAGTAGTGGACTGTTTTGAGCACTATATCAAGAACTGGCCTAATCTGATGACACTTTGTGAACAAAATCGTGAAAAAACAGATGGCACTGTCACAGCCAAAGTTCTCAACATTGGGCTTAAGAAGAGAAATGTTGAACACGTGCTGAGTACCCTGAAGCCTATTTCTGTAGCCTTGAACAAAATGTGGGGAAATAGCTGTTTTATTGCTGATGCTGTTGAAATTTGGAAGGAACTGCGTGAGATCTTAAAAAGAGAAATATGCGATGACAGTACTTGTCCCCTTTGTTTTTTTTAATGATTGTAATTTAACTCTATCTCCAGCTCATTTTCTTGCAGATATTCTCAATACTCGGTATCTGGGTCAAACCTTAACTGCTGAAGAAGAGGAGTTGGCTATGACATGGACACTAAGCAATCATCCCTCCATAATGCAACTATAAGAAACTTCAGCGTTAAGGGTGAACTATTCAAGAAATATATGTTTGCTGATGATGTTTTAAAGAAAGTCACACCAGTGAAGGGGTGGAAGTCATTTAAGCACTTGGATTCCAAGATTGTTAAAGTGATAATCTTACTTTTAACAGCAGTAGCTTCTTCTGCTGGTGTAGAAAGAATATTTTCTTCCTTTGGACTAATTCATTCCAAATTGTGAAATCGTTTGGGACCTGAAAAAGCAGGAAAGCTTGTTTTTCTTTTCCAGATTATGAACAAACAGGAAAATGAAGATGAAGACGACTGAGTTAGCTGCAGAAGCCAATATTTTACGTTTCTCATGTTGACCTGGCTGACGGTCAATTTAATTTTTATTTAAAAAAATATATATATTCCATGTAACTATTTTAGTTAGACAATTTTAACTAAAACAAACCTGATTTTTAAAAAACTTGAATGTTTAAGTAAATTCAAAAATTCATATGCTTGTTTTGTTAAAATATTGTTTGCTGTTGAAGAAAAAAAATCCAGAATACATAATGTTGTTTTAGTTAAATAAAACAATTTAAATGCCTGTCTGGTGATGTTCTCCTCCTAATACAGCATGGCAAGAAAATCCTCCAAATATTGATTAGCCTGTTGAATTGGAGATAGTCATAAATATCTGCTTCAATTACAGTTGGTAAATGAAATAACCAAACAATCATTCATTTTCTGATATAACTGTAAAACTAATCTGAAAAGTTTTCAAAATAAATCACTTTAAAAATGTATAGTGTGTACCTTCTAAAAATGAAACCTACATTGAGTTGTGAAGAATATGTATTAACCTTATAACAATCAACAAGAATGCACTTACGTAGAAATCCATGATTAAATTGAGTCTTCCTGCCTAGTGATTTAAATCAATTTGATTTAAATCAAATCCACCCTGGTGCCCAATATGACATGTCTAGGACCTGATTTTTCACAGTACTTAGCTTTATATAGCATTTTGCATGTTCAAAGCAGGGCTTCTACTGGCTGCAACTGTGATTGCTCAGCACTTCTGCAAAGCCAAGCTTGGAATCTCAAGTTAGGCATCCAGAAAATGAACACCACACAATTAGTGGCCATGTGTGAAATGTATAGTTTGTGATTTGCCCAGCATCTCAGAGGCATGGATATTGTCCACTTGATCAAGACAGTTGAATGCTACCCTGGACATGAGACATTCCTTTCTCTTTCTGCCATCCCCTACCTGGGATTAGGGGTGCAAGACTAGGTGGTAATAGGAGCAGAAGGGTGTAGGGCTCCACTGAGGGGCGGGGGTCTTGTGGGGAGGGGCCTGGGGGATTAATTAGGAATGGGTGGTAGGATAGAGGGTTGGGGGGGCTCAGGGAAGGGGCTAACATGGGGGAGGTTAGAGAATGAGGGGTAGCAGAGGGGGTTTAGGGCTGGGAGGGCATATTAGTCCTGAATTTTCTCTTTTCACCTATGTGCTGGGATACAAGGAAGCCTTACCTTTCTGCAGGGTCTGAATCCCTCTCAGTACCTGCTGTGTGTGTTTGATGTAATGAGTTTGACAGGTCTGATGTGAGAGCTGTTTACAAAGAACAGGGGACTTTGCCAAGGGGTTTCTGTGTCAGAAGGTAAACTGAAACAGTTGAAATCCAGAAAATGAATAGTTAATATGCACATCACCCCTGTGGAGGTGGAGGGGCTAGCCAGAATGTGTGGAGGAACAGCCTGGTTTGGAGGAGAAGTGCCTGGGTGGACCTGAAGTTTGGCTATGGAAGCCTGGCTGAAGCAGGGGTAGGCGTCTCACCTGGAGGTAGGTAGTGGGAGTGAGGGCAATATGTAGCTTGGGCTACATAACCAAGGTAGCATCCGGCCCTTTAGTAAGCTACTGGCTGTGATGATGCGTATGCAACTGCATAAGGCAGGAGACCGCAAAGTGCAACTTCTTACATGTTAATGGCTTCTACAGTGCCAACTAATGGCTTAATGGGACGGGAGGGAGAGCTGGAAATGGTGGGGGATGGAGACTACATGTGGGAAATGGGGTGGGGCGAAGGGGAGAGAGAGAGACCATCTTTTCTCACATGGTTGTTTCAGTAACTTTAAGCATGTGTTAAAACTGTCATGATTTCGGGACATAGACCATGGATGAGATTTCTCACTGTCCCTGTTAGCAACTTGCAAACTTTTCTAAGCACAACCATTATCCCCATTCCACTGTAACAAAATTTCAGGGGAGAGAGGGGGAAGAGTACTGAAGACTTGTGTATGGCCTAGTGGAAAGACCACTGGACTGGAATTATGCTTAGCTCTGCCACTGGCGTGCTCAGTTGTTACTCAGGGTTTTCAGAACCCAAGGCAGTGGTAACTTACCTATTTCACTCCAGGCGGTGTAAGGAATAAATCAATGAGAACACAGCAATTCCGTCTGATGAAAGATTTATACAAGTAAGCGTGCTCTTATCTAAAACTACAATTTATAAGATTTAAGCACACATGGACATAAGCAATAGGTTTAGAACATCCCAAATCATTACCTAGAATCTGGGAGGGTATTGAGTAATTTTCAGCAGTTCTGTGATGGCCGGTCTCTTCCCCATCGGGGAGTAAAATGTCGGGGGTGGGACTCTCTCCGGATAGCATCAGAGGACTGCTCCAAAATACACTCTATTATCCAGTCTTTTATAACTAACATTTACAAAACACACTGCTCATAGTCACCCCTACTGGGTCATTACCTCTCCTAACTTCAATAAACTTAACAAATATTCCTAACAATCTTCTTATGATTGTTTCTATATCAAAGACGCCCAAAACTCAAGGTTCCTATCCACTTGGTTTCTTTCAGTCTCAAATTGACTTTCTTCCCTCCTCCCATTCTGATTAGCAGAAACTGCAAGCCTGCAAGGGTTTGACCTTGCCTCCAGAAGCCCTGTTTGTTCAAATTAATTCTTAACTAGGTGGTAGTCTATTTTATTAATTCGTGGTGGCTGAAGGCACATAACATGGTTGTAGTTAGCTTGATCAAAATCTGTGTTACACATACCTCTCAAAGCCAGGGTAACCCAGTGACCTTGGGCAAGTCACTTCACCTCTCCGTGCCTCACTTTCCCAAATGGGAATAATGATGTAACGTTCTTTGAGACCTACTGATGAAAAGCACTATATAAAAAACTATGCCTCTTGATTATTACCTAGCCACTGCAGCATATCAACTGTGAACTTGGATGAGAACTACAACTGCCTGAATGACCACTAACTCCTACCAACAAACATTTTTCTCTTTAAAAAACTAGGAAATTAACTGGCAAAAAAATTAATTCTTGCAAAGTTAAAGTGGTAACTTGTGCTCTTCCAGAACATCCAGTTCAGCAAAACTTAAAATTCTGAAAACCAAGCATGATGGGTTGGACCCCCTATCCAGGATGCCACCTGATGTACTGGGGTTTCACTGAGCCTCGCCTGTTCCACCAGCCTGGATTCCCTCTCCCTGTTTTGCTGAATTAGGCTTTCTGGCCTCTTGCAGCACACACAGACAGGTAGGGCCATACCCAGTTGCAGACACAGACTGAGGTGAGCTCTGAATGAGAGGACTCACCCAGCACTCAAGTGCACTTATCTTTTGGGAGATAAGCCCAAAATAATACTGTCTTGCACTGTATAGGAAGATCTGCACAGTGCAAGCTCATAAAAATTCGCCCTCTCTCTCAATGTGGAGAGAGATGTGCACAGCTTCTTGACCACCCCCCCCCAGATATGAATTGTACAAACTGGGTTATGTTCTAAACAAGAAATAAGTTTAACAACTACAAAAGGTAAATTTTAAGTGATAGCAAACAGATCAAAGCAGATTACCTTAGTAAATAAAAATCGCAAACTGCGCTTAATATACTAAATAGGTAAGATATAAATTAGCAAATTCTCACCCTGCGTGATAAACAGGCTGGCAGATTCTTAAGGCACAAGTTGCCTTGGCTTTCCCAGGTTTTCATACACAGGCTAAAAATCCTTCTAGCCTGGGACCATCACTTCCCACAGTTCAGTCTTTGTTCCTCAGGTGTTTCCAGGTGTGATGTAAGAAGAGTGAGGTTCCCCCCATCATGTCATTTCCCCCCTTTTATATCTTCTCCCCACTTGCTGGAAAGCTCTTTTGCTATGACCTGGTTGCCATGGTGTAGTGCTATCTTTGAGAGGTTTCTATTGTACACAGTTCTTGGGGTAATCCTTGTGCTCGTGTGCATTTCCTCAATAAACCATTAACATTGTTTGGCCTTTTTACTTTCTTACCTGAAAGGCTGCTTGTGTGTGGTTTCAACCTCAGGACATGTTTCAGCAACACATACATAGCCAAACTTCATAACTTCACACATGATGATAGCACATACAATCCAACGAGATATTACTGTCCAGCAGATCAAGACTTTTAGAATGACACCTCACAAGGCATACTTTGTATAAGACATATCCTAATTACATGACAGTGGTGAATATTGGGGTGTCAGGGTGTAACACCAAGAAATACAGAGTTAAGGTAAATGCCCACACAACCATAACTCTGTCCTCTTTGAGCCATGCCCAAGTACACACATTTCCACTCTTCGCTGTAATTGACAGGTGCTACCTGCATTTGCCCTGTGCTCAAACATGGAGCCTACTTCCCCTACAGAGTACCACACTTCTAAAATGTAACAACCAGTTCATACTCTTTTACAACCCATTCACACTCACAGAATACCCTTTAAACCTATCATTAATCTACAGACTGCTCTCATGTCCCACCTCACTACTGACAATGCACATGGCAAGAAGACCTCAGTGTCCTGCTACTGACACAACCTACACAATTCTGTATTGAAATGACCCAGACTGGAACCTCAAGATACATATTCATCTTTCTCCTTTGATCACACACATGTGGGGACTCAGACCCAGATGACCTCATATCATAACAACAGCTCTGTAACAGTTCCTCAAAATTAATCCCCAGATCTGCTCACATCACAAACATTCTTCTGCCAACCTTTCCCACTTACTGCTTCCAACATTCAGTACAGTTATACCTAAACCACTGAAAGCAACTGGAATACATGCAGATAATTCCCAGTGTCTCTTGCCAGCTCCAGGGGGCAGAGTATGGGTTACATGGATGTTTCCTTAACTCTGTATTTCTGGTTTTCAGAAGTTTGAGTTTTGCCAAACTTGATGTTCAGGAAGACCACAAGTTACCACGGGGTGATTTTAACTTTGCATTGATGTTTTTTGCATTAAATAGTTTTTTGAGCACAAGTCATACACAAACTTTTTTTAAATCAGGCTGTTAGAACCTGCAGGACTGGAACCTGGAACTGTGGGGTTTTGGGGCCACTGATGCCCCTGCATCACAGGAAGAAGCTTAGGCTGGGCTCCCATGGGAGGACCCTGTGTGGCTAGGCTTGGCAGGAAGACTCACCCCAGCAGGACCAGAGTGGTGGCCTTAGACAGTTCCCTGATTGTCCAGAACCAGTATGTAAACCAGGAAGCTATGAAGGGGAGCTGTGTGAGCCGCAGACTGCCTGTCTGTCTCTGGTCCATACCTACCCATGACCCTGCCTGCCTCCTGATGCCTGAATCTTGGTTTGCCCTCTGGCCTGTCGTGGATTTTTGACTTCCTGGTAACCTGACCCTGCCTGCCTCCTGACACCTGACTCTTGGTTTCCCCTCTGGTCTATCCTGGACTGTGACCTCCTGGCCTGACTCCTGCTCTGACCACTAGGTCTGACCACCGACATCCTGATCATGACAGTTTGCTCAGACCCTCTTCGCTGCCACCCCAAATGCATCTATCTCCTCCAGAGATGATAGAAGGGGAAGCCGCCCAACCATGGGTCCCTGAGGGCCCAGGACCCAGTTGCCTATCTGCAGGCGGAGACCCTTGCACTACAGACCCATGCTACACAGTGTGCACTCAAAGCACAGGTCCTGCACGAGCAACTAGGCCAGTCACAGGCTCAGGTGGCGCAGCTCACTGCCGAAGCACAAACACTACACAAGCAGCTCGCATGCTCGCAGGGAGAAGCAGTGCCCTATGTGTCCAAACAGACCATGCATTGACTGAACCAGTTCACGCAGTGCCACTGTCTGAACAGTTCAGTGAGGATCATTGGAAATTCTGGGGCTTCCTGAACCAGTGCAGGCTGCTCATCCTGCTCTGCCCCACAAGTGTACCCCATAGACTGGACTAAGGTGGGGATAGTAGTCAGCCTACTCAACAGTGAAGCACTTAATTGGGCCTCCCCAGTGTTGGAGCAGAACAGCCCTGTGCTCTCTGACTGGGATGCCTTCCTGCAAGCCTTTGTGACCATCTTCGAAGACTTGCTTCACATCCGTGCAGCAGGGGCTGTCCTCCGGAAACTTCACCAGGGCAATGGCCAGCCACCTCATACCCTACCCATTTCCGATGACTTGTGGCCGATGTTGAATGGAATGAAGCAGACCAATTTTACCAGTTCTGCTGGGGGCTCAATGACAAGGTAAAAGATGAACTAACCTGCATCGAAAGCCCCACCTAACTAGGCACCTTTGTAGACTTTGCCCTGAACATTGACTCTTGGCTGCATGAATGGAACGAGGAAAGGAAGGGTGTCCCAACAGTCCCCCCCACCTGCCCTCCATGCCAAGGCTTGTAGAATAGAGTCTTGAACCCATGCAGGTCAACCTGGGTTTCTAACATCTGACCCTGAAGAGAGAGAGAGTGAGTGAGTGTCATTGACAGCTGAACCTCTGTTTTTAGTGCAGGGGATCAGTCCATGCCCTTGCGTCCTGCCCAGAATAGAAGAACTTGGGAAATGGACCAGCCCAGGCCCAGTAGAGGGGCACAGCCTGCATAGCACCAGAGCTCCATAACCACTACCCCCTCCTTACCCTACCCTCAAGTAGAACCCGACCTGGGAACCATGGCGCCTCCCCGCACTTCCAGTTGCTACTGCAGTTGCAGGTCTTGGAACAGGCACAGCAGATCCCCCCACATTAACAATGATAGACTCTGGGGCCTCTGCCAACTTTATAGATGCTGAGGAAGCCCAAACCCTCCAGATCCCCTTCTGGCTGAAACCCACACTGGACCTTATGGAGATGATTGTTGGGTTGCCCCTATCATCGGGACCAGTAACTCAAGAGGCTGCCACACTAGAGGCTGTAGTACAGAAGCACCAAGAAACAGTCTGCCTCGATGTGATCCGGTCCCCATTCTTTGGAATTCCTTGGTTGGAGCGGCCATGTATCTCCTGATGGCAGAGGAAAATTAGCTTCCTTGAATACTTTCAGAAAGCGTACCTCCAACAAAGCAACCAACTCTCAGCTGACCTGCACCTGGGGCCCCAGGATGGAAGGAGACCCTTGGAAGCAGAACTCTTTACAATGCGGGCTAGCCAGACAGGAGTGGCCCCAGGCAAGAACCTCAGCCTCCTTGACAAGTACAGTAGAACCTGAGAGTTACGAACACCAGAATTATGAACTGACCAGTCAACCACACCTCTCATTTGGAACTGGAAGTATGCAATCAGGCAGCAGCAGAGACAAAAAAAGCAAGTACAGTACTGTATTAAACGCATAAGGCCTGGGGATGAATAAAAGACTGCTTTTGGTACCCAATATGGGGACTTTGAATACTTGGTGATGTTGTGTGGCTTAACCACTGCCCCTGTAACATTTCAGCATTTTGTAAACAATATGTTTGGACCAGTATGCGATTATTTATCTTAACAATATACTGGTATTCTCAGAGAACCCAGAGCAGCACTACTATAATGTCTGGTCTGTCCTGGGGACCTACAGAAGCATGGGTTCCAAACTGGAAAAGTGCATCTTTGACAAGGCCACCATTGAATTTTTGGGGTATATCATCGCTCTGGAGGGAATCCAAATGGATCTGCAGAAGTTGGAAGCCATTCACAGCTGGACAGCACCCAAGCCCTCTATGAGCTTTGTGAATTTTTATAGGAGACTCATTGCTAACATCTCTGAAGTAATAACTCCCTTAACTTCACTCCTTCGCAAAGATGTGACATTTGCTTGGTTGCCTGAAGCTCAGCTTGCTTTTGACCAGCTAAAGACTGCCTTCACCATGGCCCCAATCCTGGCACACCCTGACCTGACCTGTCCATGTATAGTAGAAGCAGATGTGTCACCATCTCAAGGGAGCTTAGCACCCACTACAGGTCTTCAGCGACCATAAGAGCTTCAGGTACCTCCGCAAGGCCCAAGTGTTGAACCAGAAACAGTTAAGGTGGGCCTTGTTCTTTTCTCTGTTTGATTTTACTATTACCTACTTCCCAGGAAAATGAAATGGGAAGGTTGATGCTCTATGGCAGTGGTTCTCAACTAATTTATCATTGTGGGCTGCAGATGTGTGCTAATTGGGCCGCATGCGGCCTCTGGTTGAGAACCGCTGCTCTGTGGAAACAGAGATTACAACCAGGGAAGAAAAGAACCAATTTCCACGCCCCCCATCTCCTCAAGCCTGGTAATTTTGCTAATGCCACAATTCAGCAAGACCTGCTCTCTTATCTGATCCGCCTAGAAAGAAGATCTAGTTGCCCCAGGGACATTGCCCATGGCATTAGGGGCTAAGTTGCATCATTCTGTGTTGGATAGTGTAATGTATTTCTACAAGCACATGTATGTGCCCCCAGTGTGACTATGACTGGAGCTGCTACAGTTGTGCCATGATGTTTCAACAGTGGGTCACTTTGGCTACTAGAAGATCTCCCGCATGGTCACCCACTTTTTCTGGAGGTCCTTCATGCAGGCAAAGGTCCAAGCATATGTAGACTCCTGCAAGTGCTGTGCACATACCAAGACACCCCAAATCAGACCTCTTGGCACCTTAGTACTCCTGGAGACTGGCTAGGCTTTGGTCCACAGAACTCCAACCGTCTGATGACCACACCGTAGTCCTAACGGTTGTGGATTGCCTGACCAAAATAGCCCACTTCATCCCCTGCAACTGGCTGCCCTCTGCTGAGGCTACTGCACAATGTGATCCAGCTCCAAGGACTCCCAGATCACAGTTTCTGATTGAGGCTTATAGTTCAGCTCTTGCTTCTCGTGTGAAGTTTTCAGATTACTGGAGGTCTGCATATCCACTTTTCCTGCATATCACTCCCAAACAGATGGACAAACTAAATGGGTGAACCAAATCCACACTCCTGCCATATGCAGTTTTCTTACAACAATGCTGACTATGCCTCTAAGGGTCAGAGCTCCTTCTTCACTAATTATAGATTTCTTCCCCATTTCCACCTGGTGTTACCAGCAATCTCTCCGAATCCCACTCCCACTGATGGGGTCCAACAGATCCATCTCATTCAGGAAAAGCTCAAGAACCACCTTGAAGAGGCGAAGGAGTTATACAAGCGGCATGCAGATTGTTGATGACAAGAAGCTCCAGTATTTATGGTAGACCAAAAGATGTGGCTTGCCATCAAACACCTCCAGACCAGGTGATTCTCTGCAAATTGGACCACAAGTTCCTGGGACCCTTCCCGATATGCCATCAGATTAACCAATTTATCTTCAAAACTCCAGCTTCCCCAGTCTCTCCACACCCAGTTTTTCATGTCTCCTTTCTGAAGCCCTATAATGAACACCCCCTCCCCAACCAAACCACGCCACTACCTCAACCACTTGAAATCCAGGGTCACGATGAATACGATAGTGCTTGGCATCCTCAGTTCCCGACAGATACGTGGCTGCCTGTGCTATCCGCTGGATTGGGAAGCCTACGACCCTGAAGAATGTGCTTGGGAGCCTGCCTCCCATGTCCATGCCCCTGACCTGGTGGAGAAATTCCACAAAACTCACCCTGACAAGCCTGGACTGACACCATCTCGAAGGGGGGTCTGTAGGCAGGGATGATGTTACAACCTGCAAGGCTGGTATCTGGGGGGGGGGGCGGTTCAGGGCTACCGATGCCTCCACAATCACCACAAGAGGCTTAGACTCTGCTCCTACTTGAGGACCCTGTGTGGCGCAGCTTGGCAGGAAGTACCACCCAGCAGAACCAGAGTGGCGGTCTCAGACAACTCCTTGATTGGCCAATACCAATATATAAAACAGGTAGCCCTGAAGGGGAGCTGTGTGAGCAACAACATAGACTGCCTGCTTGCCTCTGCTCCAGACCCTGCTCGCAAGAGACACTTTATTCTGGCTTCTGACCCTGCCTGCCTCCTGATACTTGATTCTCTTTGCCTTCTGGCCTGTCACGGACTCTGACTTCCCGGTACCGGACTCGGTCTGACTCCTGCTCTGACAATTAGGTCTGACCGCCCATGTCCTGGTAACTTGCCCTTCCCCAAAAGGGCATTAAACAATCTCTACCAACAAAAGACTCGAGCCCAGTGCTCTCATGCTTTCAATACCACAGAGCTACATTAGCTGGAATTTGAAGCGGAGAAGATAGGGCATCTCTCCCATTGTGCTAGGTGCTGAACAGTAAAAGACTGCTCCATTCTAAAGAACTTACAGTTTTAAAAGTAAGATTCAACAGGGTGGTGAGGCAAATAGTGGAGGGAGGAGCCATATTTACATATTGCCATATTTACAGGCATGGGAGAAAAATTAACAGAGAAAAATTAGCAGGTGCTTAGCACCCAAGCCCCCCTCTTCCCACCCACCGGCTGCCCCCCTGCCAATCAACTCCTCCCCCTCCCTCCCAGGGTGGAGTGGAGGCTTGGGGGAAGAGGTGGAGTTAGGGGCGTGGCCTGGTCTGAGCCAGGGTTTAACACCCCCGGGGAAAATTAGAAACCAGTGCCTGTGTTTACAGCATCCAACGGCAGTGCTGCACACGAAGTAGAAAATATTGGCCAAGATTTCACCCTCTATATCTAATTAAAACTACATGGTGAATTTTATGGAAGCAGACTGTAATTTCCTAAATTGGAATTTGGCTAAGCACTGGGATTGACTTGCAAAAATTGCATCTGAATTTTTAATGAGCATGAGAACTGCTATTTTGTCTCATTTAGAAGGCAGCACCTCCCATAAAACAATGGTCCCTTGTATTGTGCTCTAGGGCACTGTTTTGGTCCTAATTTAGAGGGATGAATGCCATGTAATTTTAACATTCCTCCTTCATTAGCTTTTATCAGCCTTGTATAGGTGGGGTAGAAGTGAGAATGGAGAAAAACTAGTGCTCTTTTATCTGCTTACTGACATCAGACTTCTAAAAACTTATGCTAAAGGAGAGTTTTGCAATCATTTCCATTTTTTATTTATAATTTGTTTAATCACATTTGAAAGTCTTTTCTCTAACCCTGTGACTAAAAGTGTCCAGTTCTCAGTGGTATGTGTGGGGTTCATTTTCTTTTTCTGTTAAATTTTGATATGCATATTACTCTTTACCTTTATTCAGCAAATTTTGATTTTGGGTGGGAACAGAATTTACAGGGGTAAACAAAAGGTCATTGTTAAGCAGTTTTTAACAAAGAATATAGTTTAGTTCTTGATTATGTGGAGTAATTTTGCTGAGAAACTTGTAATGATTGTGTATGTAACTCATTACAGACAGATATAAAAAAAAAATGCTATCTAATTAACTGTTCTATCATTTTTCAGGGCAGTGTGACTGCAATGACAGTATTTTTTCCTTTGGATACCGCTAGACTTAGACTTCAGGGTAAGTGTGTAAACACGAGTATTTTTGTGACTCCTGTCTTTGTTTCCATTTCCTTTTAACCTCGGCACATCTGGGAGTAGTTGCATGGGGATTGTGATGGGGTGCACTCACCTCTTGTGAGTGCCTTCTGTCACCTGGGTATGATACTCTTTTTCTGTTCCTGGTGCCCTGTCAGCTGTTGCAGGGCATGTCTTCAGTGGCTCAGTCCTCCCTTCACATCACAGGGTAAAATGGATGAACACCTTCTGGGGTATCAAGCATCCATTCTTGCTGCCCCAGCCATCCAGTCAGATCATCTCTCAAGTTCAGTCCCCTTCTGGAGTAACAAAGTCCCACTAATGGTTGGCTCTCTCCAGGGTCTTCAGCCCCAACTCATAAGAACAGTTATGCCATAGGTCCATCTAGCCCAGTATCCCATCTTCTGACAGCCGCCAATACCATGTGCCCCGTGACAGGGTTGGGGCTCACCACCGCAGGGCCTCCCGCTGGCGCATCCGGGAATTAGCTCTGTTCTTTGCGGGGCGCCCTCTGCCAGTGGTGTCCCATCCGTCGTCTGCCCTCTGTTGGAGTCCGGACCCGCATTGCTCCCCGCTCGATGGCATCCTTCTCAGAACACTGCCCTCCGGCAGTGCCCACTGCTCTGGTCTCACCCCCTTCCAGGGGTCTGGTGTTATCAGCAGTCCTCCAGCTGCACCTGTTCTAATAGCCAGCTGCAGCCTCTAAGTCTAGCCCCTTTGTCACAGGGGCCTGCCACAGCCTGTATCAGGCCATGCTCCTCAACCAAGTGTAGTACAAGGGGGAAGGGGGGGAACCCAGGCCCACCCGCTATTCTGGGTCCCAACCCAGGGACCCTCCAGTGGCAGCCTCCCTTCCCTCCGTTTCTCCCCTTGTCAGACTTTGTCCCTGGGCCTCTTCCCCTTCGGCCCTGTGCACCTGCTCTGCCCTTTGTAGCAAGGCCTGCAGCCTGGGGTTTTCCTTGGCTGGAGCTCCCCAGCTCCTTCTGCCCTTCCCCAGCACTGCTCTGTCCAAGGTGCTGGCCTCCTGCTCCAGAGACAGACCTTCCCCCATGAAGGTCTGGGACAGACTACCTACTCTTCTCCTAGGCAGCCTTTATATAGGGCCTAGCCTAGCCCTGATTGGCTCTAATCAGTAGGCCCCTCTCTAATTGGCTGCCGGCCTGCGCAGTCACTCTGGCCTACTCTAGCCCTCTCTCTCATGGGGGTGTGGCAGCTGCCCCACCACAGCCCCATAGGGAATGAACAGAACGGGTAATTATCAAGTGATCCATTCCCAGCTTCTCTGAGCCCTTCTCAGGGCTTAGGCCATTTCCCCAGGGACCCAGGCCCGGCCTCTACTCCAGGTCCCAAGCCAGGGACCCTATAAACAGCAGCCTTGTACTGCTTCCATTAATAGTTGCTGCTGCTGTATTCCCTGGGCTGCTTCCCACTGAGTCCCATCACCTTCGCCCATTACCTTAGGGTTACAGTCTTTGGGTTCTCTCTGTCGTATCCCTGCTTGAGCAGGGTCTTTCCCAGGCCTCCTTCCTAGAGAGTCTCTTTGTCTTCCAGTCCTTCCTCACCCTTCTGGTCCCAGCTAGCAACTGACCTGCTCAGGCCCTGCAGCCTTTCTAGGCAGCCCTGGGGGACCCACTTTCACTGCTCCTTTCCTGAGGCAGGGTGTGTTAGGACTGTGAGGCCTCCAGCAGGGGGCCTCAAAGGGCCTGGCACACCCCCATTATAGGGATCTCCTCTGTGTAAACAAGGATCTTTCCTTTTATTCCTTCCTCATCACCAGCAACATTCTTCTAGTTGAGGCTGATTCTCCCTTTAGGAACAGCACTGACTTACTCTTTAATTAGTTGAAAAGTCATTGCTGTGTGACTTATGGCTCAGATTTGAATGTCTGAAGTCTGGTCTACATTACAGACCTATATTGGAATAACTTTGTTGCTCAGGGGTGTGAAAAATCCACACCCCTGAGTGACATAGTTATATCGACCTAACCCCCCGTGTAGACAGCACTGCTTCTCCCATCGACGTAACTACCGCCTCTCAGGGAAGTGGATTAACTACACCAATGGGAGAACAGTCTCTCCTGTCAACTTAGAGCATCTTCATTAAAGTGCTATAGCAGCTGTGCTGATGCAGCATTTTAAGTGTAGACTTGTCGTAAGTACATCTCTCTAGGAATATTCTCAGATTTAGAAGAGTTGATCAAAATTGAGAGTTAGAGAGAAACTGCCCAGGATTGCATTAGTTTTGGGCAGCTGGTCTTGCCAGCCCGTGGGAACAACACTATGTGCAGGAGTAAAACCAGCATGTTCTTGCCTAAGGCATTGTGCCACAGGGGAATTTAAAAGCACAGAGTGAGACCGAAATTGGGAGTACAAATATCCCATGTTTCCCAAAATTAAACTTTAAACTCCTGAACAGCCCTGGGAGTCAAGCCTGGGTATTTCCTACTTATAAACTACAGAACCAGAAGGCATCTGATATTGTGGCTAAAGCTTTATTAAGAACTGGGATGAGATCATTTGACAAATCTTCAGAGATGTATGCTTGAATTAGCCCCATAATACTGTACAGCAATCCTCAGCTCTTAGAAAACAAGGCTTTTTCCCAATGCATGGTCACCTGTAAACTGGCTGTAAGAGGCAGGTTTATTAGGGTCTGGGGGTCAGGGAATGTTTATGACAGTGAAACAGGGAAGTGAGCCCCATCTCCGATTCATGGTCCAATTATCAGATCAGGAATTAACAAAAGTTAAGGGGCAGCTGCCCAGGGGGCACATCTCAGGGCTTCTCTCCACTTACCAGGGGATCGACGTGCAGTGATCAATCCATGGGGGTCGATTTAGCGAGTCTAGTGAAGACCCACTAAATCAACTGCTGGTTGCTCTCCCATACTCCACCGGAATGAGAAGCATAAGGTAAGTTGACAGGAGTGTTTCTCCCATCAACCCAGTGCGGTGTAGACACCGGAAAAAGTCGACCTAAGCTATGTCGACTAGAGCTACATTATTCACGTAACTGGAGTTGCGTAACTTAGGTCAACTGAGCCCTGTAGTGTAGACCTGCCCTTAGTGTTGTTGGGGAGTAAACAAATAAGGAGGCAGGAAACCTTAAATATCAAGAGGAAAGAGAGAGATGCTTTCAGGGGTGGCTAGGGAGCTGGGAGAAAACAGTCATTTGTGGAGAAGGCGAAATTAGCAGTTTTAGAGGAATAAGGAGCTGATGATGAGTACTTTCAACTTTTAAAGTGCTAAAAATTAGATCTGTCTTTTGTCTTCCAGTTGATGAGAAACGCAAGTCCAAGACAACTCACACAGTGCTACTGGAGATAATCAAAGAAGAAGGCCTGTAAGTACAGATGTTCACAATTATCTTGATAAAAGTAAACGTTCAGAAGTGCTGGGCATGTGCATCCAGTGAGCCTCCATATATCTGGATATACTACTCTCCATATATCAGTCTCTTCATTTGTCTGGATTCTCTGGGGCATCAGTTTCTAATCATACAGGTGCAGTCTCCTTTTAGATAACCTAGCCACCTTGAATAATAAGCTGTTTTGGGATATGCTTTCCAGTCAAAGGTTCATTCTTTCTTCTCCCCCATCACCTGGAGAACCCCACAAACCCTTGTTGGGACCCAGTATGGAGAATTAGGATCCTGTGTAGCAGAAGTTAACCTTCATGACCTTGCACAGAGCTATGCTGTAGGAGTTGCATGCCTGACCGCAGAACCTTGTTGAAAAGTACTGACTGACAAGTAGGTGTGTATGTAACCCTCCCTTGGAGCGCTCACTCCAAGAATTCCTGGTATTTTACACTAGAGTAGAGTTGTCTATCCTAGCCAGGTTCCAGTTTGCATAATAACATTTTGCCTTTTTCAGACTTTACCCATGCAATTACAATTGGTGAAACTAGGAGTTTGTCTACACTTAAAACTCCCATTGACATAGGTAATCTACCTCCCCAAGAGGCAGTAGTTAGGTTGACTGAAGAATTCTGTTGACCTAGCACTGACTACACCGCTTATGGGTGAGGATTTTTTGCATCCCTGGCAGACTTATTTTTCCAGTGTAGACCAGGCCTAGGTTAAACACTTTTCCTACCCCCTAAAAATAGAAGAGGAGTGAAAGAGGAATACACTGACATGGATGGCATGATTTTATGACCTGAGAATCATGCAGAATCAACAATAAAATGTGTGTAAGGCTCTGGGAAAGCAAATGCCAAAAAGTAAGAGTGAGCATGGGGAGGAAAAAACACTTGTAAACCAGTTGATACCATCTTTGGCTCACAGTTCTGTATTTCCATTATCTACTCTGAGGAATTTATAGAAGGTATAAACAGTTACAGAAATCAAGGAGCCCACAATAAGAGAGAGATTTGAGGATGTAATAGTTGGATTTGAAAGACTGTAAAAATGAGACTTTGTACACCTACAGCAAAATTGAAAATCCAAGTTCTTCGAATGCTTGCACATGTCCATTTCACTTCAAGTGTGTGTGTGCCAGTGCACCCAAGGCAGTCAATTTTTTCCCCATGTTGATATCTGTCAGGGTGGTGCATGCGCTCTCAGCAAGCTTCGCTGTGAGCTTAAGGTACAAAGGGCAGAGCTGCCTCAATCCTCCTCAGTTCCTTCTCACCATGGTAGTTGGAATGTGTACTCATCACACCTTTCCCTTTCTCTTATGAGATAATGTTTTCTAAAAATTATTATTGTTCATAGTTTTAGTTAGTGTACTTGCTTTTGACAAATTTTTGCTTGTTTTTGTTGGAGCTTTTCAAGCTCTGTCCTGGGGCATGCCTAAGTCCCCAGGGTTTAAGTGCTTTTCTGGCTGTAACAAGTCTATGGTAGTCAGAAATCCTCACTCCCATTGTTTAGGGTTTGAGGGGAGGACCTATTAGGTATAGGTGCCCTATCTGCAAGGGTTTTACATTGTCTGGGATTAGTGTGCAGGGACCACACAGGGCTGGCTGGGAGAGATGGTCACTCATGTGAGTCCCTAGTCCAGCCCAGTCTGACCGTCCAGCCATTGCTGATAGAGATACCCAGTCCAGAGAGAGCAGGTGTGAGTGTGCCAGCCACTGAGGAACTGGTATAGGAATTGCTGGGATGCCCCATCCCATCCTGGAGCTGGCTACTCCCTCCCTCTGAGTCTTAGTAACTCCCCTTGCTTCCCCTCCTATCCCTCTCTGCTTCCCAATTCACAGCAAGCTTCTGCCTTCCAATCGATACTGATGGTAGCCAAAAGCTGTGCTGTTTAGCAGGGAAGACAAACAGTACCATCAGCAAGAAAGCTGCTAATGCTTCCCATGTTACCATCTACTTCTTGTCCTTCCTGGTCCCAATGTCCTGCTGCATTGCCTGGTACTGCACCACCTTGGCTTTCTGATTATACTTACTCCTCCCTGGAGTCGAAGGTGGGATCATACATTACAGGAGGTCTCAGATTTCCCTTTCTGCTAGTTGAGGTCTTGGCACTGGCATTCTCACTGGACCAGGTCCAGGTATAGGATGCTTTGGAGTTGGTCTCTGATACCATCTCAGATCCAGTAATGGCTTTTTTGGAATCCTCAGGGTGTCCCTCCAGACACTAGGTCCTCATCTCCTGCACCTGCTACTACTAAGTCTCTGTCCAGGCACTCGATCTATTGCCAATCCTAGTACCCGGTAAGTGGTGGAACTTAAATCTCCAGTGTCTGGCCCATGTGGTAAGGAGGTTCAGCAGGCATCAGAACAGGTTGATACTGCGATGTCCTCACTGAACACTTTCTCACCTTCTCCTGATGAAGCCACTGTCTCTGACTTGTCCTCCCTGGTTCCTGACAATTAGTAGATCTATGAGGATGCTCCTTGGTTAACTCCCCAGGAAATGGAGTGTTCCTTTAAATTCAAAACATGCTTTTAAATAGCAGAAAGCCATCCACCAAATGCACTTACCTCATGAATAGGCCCTGAGAAAATCATGGCTTTTTTTTTTAAATTCATGGCAGTGTAATGGTAAAATATAGAATTTTGTGGAATATGCATGATTGCCAAGTCCCCTCCAAACTGCTGTGATTTTTTCCAACAGCAGGGAGTTGGAAATGAGCATCCATGTGCACCAGTCTTGTGCTCTGTGCGGCTCCTAATATGCGGCATCATCATCATGTCAGAACAATAGTTTGTGGGAGGGACTCAGGAGCTGGTTTATGTGACGTAAAGTAGGCAGTGCAGCTACTACCCAGAACACACTACAAGCCATACCAGTCACAAGACTGGCTTGCATGAATGCCCACTTCTACCTCTCTGCTGTTTGGAAAATAGTGATACTGGACTAATTTAGCATTTTCTGCACAGTTCATGAAATTGGAATTTTCACAGGACCCTGCTCATGAAATGGAGAAGATTCTCTGTGTGGTCCAACAGAAGGGTACCCCTCCCTTGCAGGCTTCCATATATTTTCTTCTGGATTATCTGCTTCACCTAACAGAAAATAACTCTGTCGGTTCCCTGAGAGTTCACTTGGTGGCTGTTTCCGTATTCCATTCTCCTATAGAAGGAAGATCTGTTTTTTCTAACCTTACTACTGTTAGATTCTTGAAAGGGTTGGACAGGGTCTTCCCATCTGTAAGATCCCACACCATCATAGGATCTAAAATTGATTTTGTCAGCTTTAATGGGACCTCCCCTCCCCCTTCTAAGCCTATGACTAGTTGCTCTTTTTCTCATCTCTCAATGAAGGTAGTGTTCCTGGTGGCTATTACTTTGGCTAGTAGCACAACAGAATTTCAGGCTTTAGTTGCTGATCCTCCATCTCCCATATGGTGTTCTATACATGTAAGGTCTGGTTACATCCACACCCTACATTTCTAACTAAAGTGGTGTCAGATTTTCACCAAAATCAGTCTATATACTTACCAACCTTTTTTCCAAAGCCTCACTCTCATAAAGATGAGGGAAAACTCCATACTTTGGACATCCGCAGGGCATTAGTTTATCTGGACAGGACTAAGCAGTTTAGAGTGTCCCGTCAATTATTCATCTCCTTTGCTGACAGATGAAGGGTCAACTCATTCCTCTTCTGAGAATTTCCTCCTGGATTTCTTCCTGTATTCTACTGTGCTATGATATCACTACGTTTTCTACACCTGAGAGAGTTTCAGCACACTGCAAGCAGCATCAGCTGCTTTCTTAGCCAACAGTGACATTTGCAAGGCTGCAACTAGGTCATCTGTTCATATCTTCACCAGTCATTATGCTGTCTCCCAAGCCTCAAAAGATGATACTAGATTTGTGACAGTTGTGTTGCAGTCCTTGTTCAGCTAGACTCCGATACCCTCCTTGATCTCATACTGTTTGTGAGTCACCTGGAATGGACATGTGCAAACACTTGAAGAAAAAAAATTATATACCTGTTCTGTAACTTGTTCTTCAAGATAAGTTGCATGTGTCCATTCCATGACCCAGCCTCCTTCCCTCTTACATCGGAGTCAAAAATATGGGCTGCTGGTGTGTAGGAATTTGGGGTGGGCTCCGCCCCTTTTACCCTTAGCTGGCACCACAAGCATATGGAGGGCACGTATACTGCCCTAATGGGTACTGCTATGGGAGAAAAAAATCTCCGACACAGGCATGCACCACCTGAAGTGTAATGGCTATGTGCTTCACATATTGAAGAACAACAGTTACCAAACAGGTACGTAACTGTTTTTTTCCTGGCAATGGGAAACTTATTGATTTCCCTCAAGACACTTAAGAGCCCTAGATAAAGCTAGTTTTGGAGAAATGGATGGGACAACTGGAAAAACAATAAAAGGTGCAAGATCCCAAGCATACTGTGGGTATTAGTTGGCAAAGGCTCCTTTCACGCTATACAAATATTTGTGGTAGTGGAATTTGTTTTTTAAAAACCGGTTTCGCTAACACAAGTTTTCTTCTTAGGCTCTTGTCTGCACCAGGAAAACACTGTTCTTAACGTGTCAAAAACTGCTTTATCTATTTCCTCTCACTCCCACCTTTCTCAAATGACATTGAAAACAGTTTTCTGCTGGTGTGGTCTAGTTCATCTTGCTGATGTGAACTAGATGAGACAAGTTCAACACCTGGATAAAATTCAGAACAGTAACTTGGACTTTACTCTTATCACCAGAACAGGTTTGGATTGAGGGTACTGGTAACTTGAGCCACTAAAATAAACTGATTTTTCTTATCTTCGATGTTTACTGTTTTGCACTTCTGGAGGTTTCTTCTGAAAAAATATTTGTAATCAGATCATCGGAAGTATCTCTGATTTTTATGAAGACTTTGGGGCTTTATTTTGTTTTTAAATAGAGTATATGGTTCATATAAGGTGTATATATATTTTTCCTGAGATAGAAGGGACCAGAAACATGCAAGAGTTGGTTTTTCCTTCTCCATCTTCTTTCTCCCCACCAGTAACTGTACTACTGATAGTTAATCATGGAAGCCTGTAACTTTAGAAACTTAACTCTTTGTACTTTCCCAACTAAACGGGGGAATGTTGATATGTACAATTTGAAGATACACCGACTATAGATTTCCCGAGTCTGTTTCTCTTTTCACTTATACCAGCCTTTGTAACTTCACTTATTTCAGTGGAATTACTCATGAGTGTTATCAGTATAAGCAAAGAATTGAGTGCTTTATTTTAACCAGTAATAGAGTTAAGAATTATATTGAGTCAGTGTGATTGTTACTGGTTGGAAATTGTCTCAATATAATGGTATTATATATAGTGCCAGCTGTGTGAATCTTCCCACAAACATACAAAGAAAATTAAATAAACGCAATTTTTAAAAATTGTGTGCTGTCCCTGGCAAAGAGTAGATGTTGTTTTCTATCCCAAAGGTACAGTATTTCAGTAGCATATAAACAATTCCTCTATTGATGGATTTGCAAAACACTTTGGGATCCTTGTGGATGAAAGCCACTGTATAACTCCTTCTTGGGTCCACAACTCTGTTCTCTGTGGATCTGTTTAACCAATGGCTTCCAGTATGTTTTTTATCTTTGGAGGCCTGATCCAAAGTCTGTTGAACCAATGGAAAAATTCACATTGACTTCAGTGAGCTTTGGGTCAGATCCCAGATGCTTTAAATTTATAATGGTAGTTTTCTGACCCTTACTTTGCCTGTTGTTTTTTCTCCTCAGCCTGGCACCATATCGAGGGTGGTTCCCTGTTATTTCCAGCCTCTGCTGCTCCAATTTTGTCTATTTTTATACATTTAACAGTCTCAGAGCTCTCTGGGTCAAAGGCCAACATTCAACCACAGGAAAAGATTTGGTCCTGGGGTTTGTTGCAGGTAATGGAACCTATAAGGCATGATGACATAGTATGTCATAACATGAGATTCTGTGAAATTCAGATTTTTAACCAAATTACATAATGACCATGCTTTATGAAGCCCATTGGAGGTCATGTTGCCTGGGTGTTTTGTATTTTGTATCTTATAGAGAACCGCTTCATATTATGGCTCTCTTTATTTGTCATGCATATTTACTCTAGGTCTTCTACCACCCCACATTCTCTGTGTGCATGGGTGTAGGCGTATATATACACACACAATTATAAAATGATTTCTGTTGAACGCTCGGACAAAAAAAAAATCCGATATTGAGTCATTTTCTCTATGTAATGTACCCATTACCATGGTACTTAGATGCCATTATCTTCCAGGACAGATCAAAGTGGGAGTAGATTTCCTACTGATATTAGAGTTCTTTGTTAAAGAAGATTTTTGCAATATTTTGAATAACTAAATCTTCTTTAACTAGGTTTTGAATCAGTAGCTTTTACCACCATCATTGAATCATGTGGAGTAGAACTTCCAGCAGATATCTAACAGATGAGAGGTCTTCCTTTGCAGGCAACAAAACTAGATTGGAAGAGTTTTAACAAAACTTGTCAGGTTTCTAAAAATTCCCAAAGCTGTAAACAACATGACTTCTCTTATAACTGAGTCTAGCTGGATGGTGACTAATAGATATGCTTTTCAACATGTTGGGCCAAATTAATCCCGGAAGTAACCCCATTGAAGACTGTCTTGGAATTTGCTTGACCTAAGGAACCTTTAATTAGTTGTTGAAAAACCCATTGTTTTGACTTCTTTGGCCTCATTGGAGAAACTACAGAAATAATTTTAGTTAGAAGTTATGTAATTACCTTTGCTGTGTGTTGATCTTTTTTAAAATTCCTGCTAAGTAGTTTTCTATACTATGTGAATTACTACTGAATTAGTTTGTACATTGAAATTAAAGAAGGAAAAAATGTAGAAAGACATACCCATTGTTTCTGTTTTACTTTTGTTAAGTTTTATTTTCTTCTCCTTGTGGGGTGCTTTTGTATTAGGTGTCGTGAACGTACTCTTGACCACTCCACTCTGGGTCGTGAACACACGACTGAAACTGCAGGGAGCAAAGTTTAGAAATGAAGATATTGTACCAACCAACTACAAGGGCATTGTGGGTAAGCACCTGGTGAAGTCATTTTTCTCAGTGAATTTCATGTTTGTGAAAAAGATTGGATTGATGGCTCTGAAGACCAAAGACCCTTATCCACAGTAGCATAAGTCTCCCACCCTCCTTGTATGTGTGCACGGTGCCCATTGTTGATCCTGAAGAGGGCCCCACCTAAGGGAGAAGGGTTGTACAGTCTTCCTGACCCATTCAGTTCTTGAACTTTTTTGTAGAAACTGGCAAGGAAGCCAACTTTTGCCAGTTCTGGTTGTAGCTGTTAGGGTTGTGGACACTTATTCTGCTAGGCCCACAAATTGATTTCATATAGGTTATTGACTAGCCAATGAGGTAACAGTGGCTTCCAGTCATCACTGAACTGGACTAAAGTTTGAACTGTCAGTCTAGAAATATGAGACTTTATTTACCATCATTAATCTCCTGAGCTATCCAGTCTTCCAAACTGTCTCCATTTTTTGAAATAGGCCTCAGTGCTCTATTCCTGTATAGCTCCTATATAGTAAATGTTCTATTGGTGGAGGTAGGATATACATCCCATGATTCCGGAGGGGGGTGGGGAGGTTCTTGCTGCCTGAGAACTCCAGAGAGTGACCTTATGACCATGACCCAGTGCTGCTGACTGTTCATTAGTTTAAAAGGCAAAAGAAGAAGTGTATCACAGGGAGCAGTGGGTCCAGGCTGCTGAGATGACCCGTACACAATGGAGGATGATATTCAAAATGTAGAATTAATCATACCCTTTGCAATCAGAATGTCACTCTGTATGTTAAGAATTCCTGTTGCTTCGCTCCATTTTCCACTTCAGATGCCTTTCATCAGATAATAAGGGATGAAGGAGTCTTGGCTTTGTGGAATGGTACTTTCCCCTCCTTGCTGCTGGTCTTCAATCCTGCCATACAGTTCATGTTCTATGAAGGGTTTAAACGAAAGCTTTTGAAGACACGACTGCAGGTGAGAGTAATAGATTTTTGAGATCAGAAGAAACTGTTATGATTATCTAGTGCAGCGGTTCTCCAACTGTGGGTCGCGACCCTGTTTTAATGGGTCTTGCTAATTAGACTTGCTAGGGCTCAGGGCTGAAACCAAAATCTGAGCCACATCCCATCCCCAAGGGCTGAAGCCCTCAAGCTTCAGCGCCCCCCAGGATGGCAGGGCTTGGACTTTTGCCTTGGCCCCCCAGCCTGGGGTTGTGGGGCTCAGGCTTCAGTCCCCCCTCCCGGGGTCATGTAGTAATTTTTGTTGTCAGAAGGGGGTCAGGGTGCAATGACGTTTGAGAAATCCTGATCTAGTATGACCTCCTGTATATCACAGACCATACAACCTCAACTACTAGCTTCTTGATGAAGCCCATAATTTCTGTTTGAGTTATAGTTTATCTTTTAGAGAGAGCGTCATTCCTGATTTCAAATGATGGAGAATCAACTGCATCCCTAAGGAAGTTGTTCCAGTAATTCATTCCCCTCAGTTTAAAAAAAAATTAAATTAATACTTATTTCTAGTCTGAATTTGTCTTGCTTTAGCTTCCAACTATTGATCTTAGTATGCCTTTCTCTGCTAGATTTAAATTCTATTGTCAGAAATCTTTTCCTTATGTGGGTACTTGTAGACCATAATCAAGTCACCTCTTACTTTGTGTCACAGGAATACTTTGTGTATTCCCCCTCTGTGGTCCATGAAGGGCACCCTCTATTAGGATCCTGGCTCCCCAGCCATCACCTCTCTTGGGTGGAGACCCATGTCTCTCTCCCTCCTGACCACGGATTTTGCAGGTTGCCCAATTCCCTGCCTACAGTTTGGGTTTCCCAGCAAGTCAGACTTTCTAAGCAAGCCTGCTTTGCTTTCTCGCCAGACGCTATAAGCAGCAGAATTGCCCGTAGTCATAGTGTACTACACAGCTTGTCCTAAGCAAGCATATTTATTCTTAAGGTGAAAGCATTATAGAGAAAACAAATTAAAAACAATAGAAGAACATATGTTGCTAATAAGCTTACCAGAGAGAACCTCATTTCCAACAAGGGCTCTGGCAAGTGATCAATCCTTCACATCTCACCAGCGGGGTTTCTGTGCTGACGTGTTCATAACAGCTGTTAGTTCAGAACAAGAATCCCCATGAATCTGTGAATCATTCCTTTGTACAGTTTGGGCCTCTGATATTGTCCTCAAGTAACAGGTAATCAGCAGATGGTCCTTCCTCATGGTGAAACTTCAAAAGGATGAGTTCTTGCATAATCTGTGTGTGTATATGCAAATATAGTGTGTGTGTATATACATATATACACACACACACACACTATATAAAACAGACTCTTAAGGCCAAAGTGACTGAACTTGAGGAGCTAAGGGAGACAGAGAGGCACATAGAGGAGACTTTCAGGGACACAATAGAGCGGTCTCACTCCAGTTTGACAGCCTCTCTGCTGGATGATGGAGGATGAAAGTCTCAGATAAGGAGAACTTCAGGCTAGAGCGGAGGGAAACTGTCCCATAGTTGGGGACTTTCAGATGACGTGCTAAAGGAGCACTCAAGGAAGATAAGGCCATTGTGGAGAAACAAAATGAATCTTTGCATAGGTCTTCACTGCAGAGGATGTGGGGGAGATCCGCACACCTGAGCCATTCTTTTTAGGTGACAGATCTGAGGTGTCAGTAGAGGTGGTTTCAGAACAAATTGATAAACAGTAATAGGTCACCAGGACCAGATGGTATTCACCTAAAAGCTCTGAAAGAACTCAAATATGAAATTGCAGAACTACTAACTCTGGTATGTAACCTATTGCTAAATCAGCCTGTCTACCAGATGACTGGAAGGTAAGTAATGTAATACCTATTTTTAAAAAAGGCTCAAGAGATTATCCTGGCAATTACAGGCCAGTAAGTATCTGGCAAATTGGTTGAAACTATAGTAAAAAACAGAATTGTGAAGACACATATATGAACATGATATGTTGCAGAATAGTCAACATGGCTTTTGTAAAGGGAAAAATCATGTCTCACCAATCTGTGAGAATTCTTTGAGGGAGTCAGCAAGCATGTGGACAAAAGTGATCCAGTTGATATAGTGTACTTGGACTTTCAGAAAGTCTTTGACAGGTCCCACACCAAAGGCTCTTAAGCAAAGTAAGCAGTCATGGACTAAGAGGGAAGTCCTCTCATGGTTCAGTACTGGTTAAAAGATAGGAAACAAAGGGTAGGAAGAAATGGTCAGTTTTTACAACAGAGTGGGGTAAATAGCAGGGTCCCTGTAGTGAGGCAGATTGGCTGCCCACAGACCCGGAGGGGGAGGGGCCCCTCACTTTGAACCCTGGTGGGCGGAGCCACTCCATGCTCAACCCTCCCACCGGAAGTTCAGGAGGCGGGGCAGGAAGTACAAAAGGCGGGCTAGATAACTCAGTTGGGGCCCAGCCACCGGAGGAACCAGATGCCTCCTGCAAGCTCCTGAGCTGGGAGGCTGCCACAGACCCCGAGGAAGCTGAGTACTAGCCAGGGCCATTTACAGACCTGAACATGGAGGAGCTCCAAACCCTGACAGAGGCCCTCTTCCTGGATGACCCTCTACAGAGCCAGGTGTGTCCTGAGGGGGAGTTAGGAAGTGGCCCAGGGGTAGCTGACCCCTGTCTGGCTGCAACGCTGCCAGCAAATGAGTCACCGTGTTGTGGTCAGGATCTCTGCTGACCCAGTGGCAGACCACTCTGCCACTGCTAGGGCCCTGGACCGGGACGCAGTGAGTGGGTGGGCCTGCGTCCCCCCTGCCACCCCAATCCGTGAGTGGCAGTCTCCCCCTCTCTTAGGCAAGAAGCCTGCGCTTGTCAGCCCTCCGCTAGAGTTAGGAGACCTGACTGTTTTGCAGCTCAGCCTGAGTACAGGCCTGAGCTCTCAGACTCTTTGTTGCCCTGCCCTGACCAGGGGCTGGGCTCTGTAACTGTGTTTGTCGTTCAGCCCTGATCACAGACCCATGCTCACGTCTCCCGTCGTCCCGCTGATTCCCCACTCCAGGGGACCTCCCAGAGACGTAGTGAGGCGAATTGGCCACCCACAGACCCAGAGGGGGAGGGGCCATTCCCCCCAATGGACTGCAGTCCTCAAAGGATCTGTACTGGGACCTTTGCTGTTCAACATTCATAAATTATCTGGAAAAAGGGGTAAACTGTGAAGTGGCAAAATTTGCAGACTATGAAATTACTCAAGGTACTTAAGTCCAAAACTGACTGTGAGGACTTGCAAAGGGATCTCTCTTGACTAGATGACAAAATAGCAGATGAAATTCAGTGTTAAGTGCAAAGTACAGTAACTCCTCACTTAACATTGTAGTTATGTTCCTGAAAAATGCGACTTTAAGCAAAACGATGTTAAGCGAATCCAATTTCCCCATAAGAATTAATGTAAATGGGGGGGTTAGGTTCCAGGGAAATTTTTTTCACCAGACAAAAAACTATATATTATATAGCTCTATACACAGTATACGTTTTAAACAAACAGTTTAATACTGTTCACGGCTATGATGGTTGTGATGCTTGGTTGAGGTGGTGAAGTTAGAGGGTGGAAGAGGGAGGGATATTTCCCAAGGAATGCCTTGCTGCTAAATCAGTGGTTCTCAAACTTTTGTACTGGTGACCCCTTTCACATAGCAAGCCTCTGAGTGCCACCCCCTCCCCCTTATAAATTAAAAATACTTTTTTATATATTTAACACCATTTTAAATGTTGGAAGCAAAGCAGGGTTTGGGGTGGAGGCTGACAGCTCGCGACTCCCCATGTAATAGCCTCGTGACCCCCTGAGGGGTCCCGACCCCCAATTTGAGAACCCCTGATGAACTAGCACTGAGCTGAGCCCTGAAGGGTTAACACATTGTTGTTAATGTAGCCTCGCATTCTACAAGGCAGCAGGAACACAAGGAAGGGGAGACAGCATAGCAGACAGAGACAGACACACACCTCGTGTGTGGGAGAGAGAGAGAAATGCACACTGCCCTTTTAAGTAAGCTGACTCACTCTTAAGTGTATTGTCTTTAAGTGGATCAGGAAGTTGAGACAGTAGCTGCTGCTCCAGGCTCTCTCTGTCTCTCTCCCTTGTGTCCCCACCCTGCTCTATATGGAGGAGAAGGGGTAAGTGGGGTGTCAGAGCAGGGGGGAGGGGGACACCCTGACATTAACCCCCCTCCTCCCCCCTCCCCCACTACAGGGAGCAGCTCCAAGACAGAGGGCAGGAGCAGCACATGGCAGTGGGGGGAGGGATAGTTGCAATTGCTAGCCTGCTGGCAGCTGCTGCACAGGGAACTTAGGGGAGCGGGGAGCTGATAGGGGGCTGCCGGTCCACCCTGGTTCCAAGCCCCCAGCAGCTAGCTGCAACGGGCTGCTCTTCCTGCAAGCAGTGGACAAAGCAGGCGGCTGCCAAACAACGTTAGAAGGGAGCATTGCACAACTTTAAACAAGCATGTTCCCTAATTGATCAGCAGCGTAACAACGAAACAACGTTAACCGGGACGACTTTAAGTGAGGAGTTACTGTAATGCACATTGGAAAACATACTCCCAACTATACCTAAAAAATGATGGGGTCTATATTAGCTGTTATCACTCCTGAAAGAGATCTTGGCGTCATTGTGGATAGTTCTCTGGAAACATTCACTCAATACGCAGCGGTGGTCAAAAAAAGCTAACAGAATGTTAGGAACCATTAGGAGAGGGATAGATAAAACAGAAAATATCATAATGCCACTGTACAAATCCATGGTACACCCACACTGAATATTGTGTGCAGTTTTCATCCCATCTCAAAAAGGTATATTAGAATTGGAAAAAGTATAGAAATGGGCAACAAAAATGATTAAGGGTATGGAACAGCTTCCATATGAGGAGAGATTAAAAAGTGTGACTTTTCAGCTTGGAAAAGAGATGACTAAGAGAGGACATGATAGAGGTCTATAAAATCATGAAGGGTGTGGAGAAGTAGAGT